CTGAAAATTTTACCCCCTTTTTAACTATTTCTGTAGATATTTCTTTATAGATTGCAAATGCTCTTTGATCACATAAAAGGTGAAAGAGGATTTCTAGGCATTTATCTGAACATTTAAACAAGCTAGGATTCTGACAAACTCTCTACAAAATTTATTCTTATTTACTTAAGTGTATGTTTGATGATACTCTACAAAGGCCTAAACATTGAAGAAATCAGAACTTGGAAGTACAAAGTCATCAACAGAGCTAGGACCAAAAGCCATGAGGTTTTGTCTGTATGCTATGATGCTTTTTTGTATTGTTTTTAAGTGCAGAGTAGACATTAATTGATTGAATCTCATCTTACCTGTTACAATTACAGAATTGGAAACTTGGTCATAGATGAGAGTCTGCGTGTGTTTACTGAAACATTTTATTTTTATAGATTTCCCCAAGAACTGATAAAACTAAACTCGACAGAAAATAAAAATACACCCGAGAGCAGATGATCCCAGGCAAAGCCATGCTAACTGACTTGCATGTGGATTAGGAGATGCTAAGGCTTTATTTGATTTTCCTTGGAGACACTTACAGTAGACTTCTGAAGCTAATTTGGATTATAGATGAGCTGGGCTAAAGCAAATAGGGCCACATTAGCCTTTTGTTCCATTGGTTCTTAATTACTGGATTTTGTAGCGCATCTGGAACCATTGTTAGATTCCTTTAGATCCTTGGCCCTTACTTTAAAAATGCACATAATATTGTCTGCTTTTTAAAATAATGCTGAGTTATTTGTGTTATTGTAATATCACGGTGAAGATAAAATTCTAATTTCCATACATTTTTGTACTGGGTTGCATCATATGTGGTTTCCAACATGTAGGGAGAAATGTTCCCTTTTAAATAATAATGGTCATTCATAAGGTATAGAACTCCATTCTGCTATTTTGAACTGATGACAGAATTGATTCATGGATATATGGCAACGACAGAAAAACAACTGTGGTGAATAATAAAGGACACCTGATTCTTACTCCTTGACTTTGTAGAAGCTGGCAATATTGAAAGAATTGGAAAAATAAAAAATAATGATGATTATCAATTTCCTAAAGAAAGTGAGTGTAATACTGTACAGATATGCAGTTTTAGGGAGAGAGAGGTTGAGATTATTCCACTACTGTTTTTTTGTCTCCAGACTATGCATCTTCACACCTGCAGCTTTACATTTTTATTGCTTTTGGAACCTCCTTTGGTGTGTAAGGAGAATTGAAAAGAGGAGGTGAAAATTTAGTCAACTTTGTTCCTTTTTAGCAGTTCTGAAGAGAAAAGTTCAGTATTTTGCCATTTAAAGAGTACCCAATATGGTTAGCAATTGTCTGGATTCTAATCACCATAGCCGCAGGTGAATCTTACAGTTGGGCACGTGTGAGAAGTGATATATTATCTCTGTCTCCTTCACCCAACACACTGATTCTCTTGTTGTGCAGTGATTTTCATGTTGTTAACCTAGTTTAGGGGTTTGTAAGCTCTTTGAAGTTACAAGCAGAAAGGATATGTCAATATTTGCACTTTTCCGGGAAGAAGATCCATAGCCTTCACCTCATTAAAAATAACAATAATATTCTTTTAAAAAATTGGTATCTCAAACTACATTAAGGAGCTTTAGGAAATATACTTTACACTCCTTGCTAGATTTTAAGCAACAAACATCAGGAACTGTATTTCTTACCGTATTTCCCTTAGTGTTTGGCAACTGTCTCGCTCATAAACAATGTTGCACAGATGGATTTTAGAGTTGCATTAAGCTGGGCCTAATTCCTAGGACCAGTACCTCATAGCAGTGTGTTAGTTAGGAACTTAGGTTACACATTTACCTCCTTCAGGCAAAAGAAATTTCTTTAAGAGAACAACAGCCATTTACTGAACCAATTTATTCAGTCCTCTTCTCCATTCAATCTTTTATCACCTCTAAAGAAAATAGAACAATAGAACGTAACTGATGGATTCAAATTACCTTCAAGTAATTGCTGAATAAAAAGAAAGAATGAAAATGCCCCTCCAAGTTATGCTCCATACAGGTGGTTAAATACCTGAAGAGGCGAACTCATCCACAGTTTAGTTTTCTTACAAAGGTCCCTTCAGTTGGTGATTTCCATGTTAAAAAAAAATGTTGTTAATTCAAAAAAGGGAAGTGTACAGTCTCTGGGATGAAGATGTAACTCTTGTCCCTAAAAAGTAATCTAAATGAAAAAAAAATGCATAGAAAATATTAAGAAACAACATTTCCTTAGTTGGAAAAAAGAAACTACTATGGTAATATTCCTGTATTGTTTGACTTCCCAAGAATCAGGACCTGAAGCAAATAGGAACAGAATGGACGATCAAGAGCATGATTATCTTAAGGACCCTTCAAAATGTTTCTCACCAACCACTAGATAAAATCGTCCAACTAGGTACTGTTTTAAAAGTTAACCTCGTAACATTAGCAAAATAACTAGCAAAGATTAGCAAATGTTACTGATCTCTTTGCATTAAAACATAAGAAATATTTTATTGAACTGTAATTGGTGCCTCCAGTGTAGGGGGCAGTATATATTTCTGTGGATTTTAATGGCTACATAGAAAATGTCTACTATTTAACATGAGATTTAAATGTCCATCCCATTAGTTAAAACACTATCAGTAATTAATCAGATAGTATAAACAAATACAATCAGATAGATATAAACAAAGTCAAGAGGATTTTGCTGTAGAAATGTAAACACAAAGTAACTACCTTACAATTTGGCATCCTGTATCTGCTTTTTTAAGCAATGTTTTTTAAAGCTGTATTAGCTGTTACACAACTATTTTTCATTCCTATAGATAAAGGACCAGAGGGGCAGGAGCCAGGGCCAGTTTATAGAGCCCCCAACACTCTTGGAAGGAACACATCACCCCCAAGACTCACTGGGCAGCTGCTGATCTCCTTGGCTCATTTTAATCTACCCTAAAATTCTTATTTGCTTTCTGGAACCTCCTGAGGCTTTCAGAGGGGTTAGAACTATGGTTCTCAACTCTTACTGTGCAGCAGAATCACCTGGGGAGCTTTTTTAAAAAGACAGACGTTTGGGTACCACGTCCAGAGATTTCTGATTCACTTGGTCTATGGTGGGACTTGACTGAAGTAGTTTAAAGATGCTCAGGTAGTTCTGATGCACAACAAAAGGCTGAAGATAATTTCTTTAGATATATTTCCAGCCTAATTTCACAAGGCTCAAATGTAAGAATTTTAGGATGTCTTTAAGAGTTGTAAGTAATAACACCATACTTTAAATATATAAAATGGTATCAAAGTGTTTTAAAGAGTTTATCCTCTTTTCACCTGAGATTTCTAAATCCAGCAAGTGGATAGGATATTATTCAAAATGATCTCATTAAGATTTTGATTAGCTAGACTGCCAGGAAATGCTTGACCACATACAAAGTGTCACAGGGTCTGATTCCAACAGATGTCCTTTTTAAGCACCTGTTGGAGTGAACTCTGCCACTGGCCCTTTAAATGGGATGGAGTTTTAATTTTCCAAAAGTAGCGAGCCAGTTGGAATGCCAGAAATGCACATTTGCTGCTTATGTTCCATTCTAGTAAACAATCTCCTGAATTACTATGTTGATCTCTCGATTGTGTAGTTAATGAGAGAAGTCTACAAATACCATTACGATTGACCAGCAGCCTTGTTTATAGATGTTTGTTAGAGGGAGTTGATTTCGTATAATCAGCCAATAATGAAAAACAATGCTGTTTTTACCATCTCCTGAATCTGTCAAGAATTGACTTGTTAAAAGCTAAAACTGTAAATTGGAGAAAACTGAAACTCACCTAGAAAGCTGTTTCATATTTCTCCCAAATGGAGGGTCTAAATTTGTGTTTGATTACGATGAAATAGCTAAAATGTTACACAGCTTAACACCAAACATGCCTGTGGATGATTCTATCCCAAAACTGACATAAACAAGCAGTGTTAGTATCATTATCTCATGTGTGTTCATCATGTCTATCTATAGCATAGCACTGCATCAGGTACCGCCTGGCTGAAGGTCATGGGTTCCACATAGCTATTCAAATATTTTATTTTTGAAACAGCTGAATTACTCTCTGACCTGACTTTAGTGAGTGGGAGGATCATCTTCATCTTTATGCCTTCCTGCCCTTTCTAAAAATAGTAGGGCCTTTAACAAGGAGATGTTTTAAGCAGCTCATATTCACTTGTCTCATCAGAAGAAGCTTATTTTGGCCACATGCATGTGTCAGATTTGCGTGTATGCATAGTTAGACTTTTCGAGCGTAGTCTACGCTTCTCTGCATCACTCAGATAAGAAACTTGCAAACAAAGACATTGGGATTACTAGCTGAGAGTCAGTGGGTAAACGTAAACGAAGGGAAGGCACTTTTTAGGAATGTGAATATGCTTCCGAAATCATCCATTCCAGACATTCGCACATCAGTCCTCAGCTTTTCGGATCTGTTTTCATAAAACCTGGCCGTGAGTTCGCTCCAGGGACCTCAATGATCTTGCCACTTTTAATAAATACTTATAGGAGCCACTGCCAGCCTGTGGAGAAAGGAAACTAATGAGAAACTGCCATCCAAAATCTGAACGGCAAAAACAAAACCAAGCAAAACCAAAAAATCTAAAACCAAACCAAAAAAGAACAACTCAGACAATCCGTGCTCACAAGAAGACGCGTAGAAAAACCCCGAGATGTAACTTTGATTTGGTAACTGGATTTATCAGTCACATGACTGGCATGCAGTGGGTACTTTGTATTTTTCTACTTTGAAAAACAAGTGCAAATCTATGTTATTCTGCACAACTGGGACCAAAAAATTATGAGTGTGAGAAAACACAGACTCTAAAAGCAAGATGGAATTTCAGCAGGTAAACCCTGTTCCGCAGTCATGTCATTCCGGTACAGTTGTACGTGGTACTCGTGTTTGCACGTCTAAGAAATTTCCATTTTTTCGCATCAAAAACTCCAGATATGAAGCTGAAGCTGCTTTCTTCGCCAACCTGAAGCTGTCTGATTTCAACGTCATTGATACCCTCGGAGTTGGAGGTTTCGGACGAGTAGAACTGGTAGGTGATTGTTCTTTAAATGCTTTTGAAAGCCTCTGTTCTCTTTTCTTCTTTTTTCTCTGGATTAAGATTCCTCTCTTCTTTTCTCTCACATTAATTACTAATGTTTCTAAATCAGTACCAAGTACTTTCACATCAGCATGTCAGAGTTTGCAGTGAAGTGGGCTATGTTATATAGTCAATAAACTAAAACTAAACACCAATTTACTTATTAGAAAACCTCTCCGCATTAAATGAAAGGTAAACACGTTTACTTGGTGAGGAGTCACAAAGCACTTTAGCCAGCTGATTTTCTGTAATCTTTACTTCCTTAGTTCTGAGCAGTGCTCACCAACTTAATTATGCACCCTATCTACAATTACAATAATTCAAATGTAAATTTAAATACATATAAAGGGAAATAGGATATATACATATGTGTGTGTGTATATATTTTCATAAAGATCCTTAGCACTGCTCTAAAACATCAAGTAAATGGTGTTGTTGTAGTAATTCTGTGATTCGTAGTTGCAAGCACCTATTTAGATTATAGTGCTAATAGTTTGAATGTTATAAAATTTATTTCGCATACTTTATATATATACAGCTAAGTGCTGAGGGAGATGATGTACTAGTGTATAAATTAAACATGTCTCATGAATGAGGTATAAATAAAATGAAAGCATACTTCATTGGGCCTTTGTTTGAAATATGAATTTCAAACTGACGTAATGCAACAAAAATTTTAAAACAGTGTATTCTGGCGACTGAGTTGCTGCATTCGAAGACTGTGTGGCTATCAAGCCTTTTGAGAACACAGATTAATTTCCACCTCTCTGCTGAACGTGGAGGAGGCCCTGATACCAGACACCAGTACAGTATGTGAGGAACTCCCTGAGACTGTGTACAGTGCAGTAAATAGTTACTGTTGCCATCAAGGGACAGGAGAAATCCCCTTCCATAAAAGTAGATTGACCCAGAGCTATTTTTGTCATTTGTCCATTTGTGCCGCAGTTGGGATTTCTGACTCTGACAAAAAGATGTTATTTACCTAAATATCAGACAAGAAGGTTTTAAAGCCATAACACGTTTTATTGAATTTGCCTTATGCTTCCCTTAATGCTGGCTGGAGATATGATAGGAATGTGACTTCTGACTTGACAGTCACAGAGTGCCTCTGAGGATCGTTTTCAGTTATAGGAGTAAAAATCAAGTAAGGGCCTAAAAGGCCCTTTTGCTTTTCTGAATCCTGCCAATTAATGCAGTCATAGATTTATTTTTCAAGAACTTTGGTTTTGTGGCAGGTTGTAATTATTCTATAGGTAATGAAGTTTTATTAACAACTTTATCTGTGAACAGTTTTGCATTGGGTGTGTTGGGACTTATAAGCAGGACAGGGTATAACTCCTTGCCATGAAGGCTTATTGTCTGATTTGTTTATTTACATAGTTGTATGTGTCTAAACCCCTCTCTGGATGAAGCCGTATGAAGGACAGAATTCCCCAGAGATTGCTTTTGCTAGTGTTTGTTATAGTTTCTTAAATATTGTTTTTTAAAGACTATGGATAATAAAAATGCTATTCTAGTTGACCACACACACCAAAAAATCACTGTTATAACTTTGTGGACACCCAGAAGTCTGAAAACTTTAAGCTGTGAACCTGTAAGTTACCAGTGAGATATTTTATGAAATGTAAGAATTTACTTAGGAATTTTGAAATATTGAAAATAGTTCACAGACACTAAAACCACTTAAAGCTGAACAATGACATGCAAGCTGATAGTGAAAAGCTTCTAGAAAATTCCCTCAAAACTGTAGGAGGAGGCACAAACTAACCACAAAATTAGGGAATATTCAATATGGGCATATAAAAGGTAATGCAGTTTAAAAAAACAAAATATGTGTTTGTGTGTGTATGGTGTGTGTGTGTGTCTTTGTATGTGTGTGTGTGTTTGAGTACATACATATTTGTATATAATCTCCATCCCAGGAGAGATACTAGATAATTCAGCCTAATTTTCTTCTCATGGTTATGATATTTTACTCTTTTACACAGATGTTTATACTAATGAAAACCATAACCTCAAGGATTACTTTAGGTTGGAAATATAGCCCAGTTTTAAAAACTTTAGATAGGTTGATGAATGATAAATCCATAATGGGTCATTAGATAGAACCAGTCCATTAGGAGAAGAGGCACATGTCCTTAATCTTTGAAGTGACATCATCTTGTGTAATCTTGTGCTTCTCAAAACACACCATTGAATAGTCAAAATACTCAGATTGCCTTCACTATTCAATGTGGACGAGCCATTTAAGCGATCATCAACACCCTAGAATTCATTGCCCCCAGGTTTTACCACCTACGAACTGCCCATCAATTACTGGGTATGAAAAATATTCTTTTCTGTGAGTGTTCATTTTTTTGCAGGTTTTCAGTGATGCCAGAGTCGGGAATCTGGCCTCAACACTTCGACTGTAGTTACACATAGTTGTAATAGCATATAGTGACTCGCTATGAAGACAGTGGTGACTGCACAGAAGGTCGCAGTGTACCTTTAGAGTGTTACCCACACCATTCATAGTTAGGAGGAGGATCTAGGCAGAGCTCAGTTCTATTGTGACACAGAAGATTGCTCTTCACTCTCCTCTGAGAATGATGCATGCAAGATAATTTGTCGATATTATAGAGTGCTCATGTGTAAGCACTACAACCTTCAAATGGATTCACTTCACTTATGTCTACACAGTGCTGAGTATGTTCATACCAAGTATTGAATACTGATACCTTGAACCTACCAATCCTTAGTTTAACAATAATGTTGATCAGGTAAATGATATTGCAAAAATATACCACAAGACACACTTTAATTTTATAATAGTATTTTTTTTTATTTTCCCAGGTGTAAGACTATAAACTCTTGAATGGTATGATGAATAGGAGATTTGAAATTTCGACCTCCATTTCCTGTTAGAACTGAATTAGGAATGCAGTTTTCTCATCGTTGTTTGACATACAGATTACGTCTGTGCTATTCCACATAATGATATACCCTTCAAAGACTTCTTAGCATCTCTTAATTTTTATCACTTATGTCAATTTAGATGCAGGAGTATTTTTCAGTCAGGAGAATTGCTAAATAATTTATTGCCAACTTTTGGAGATGAGAATATAATTTTGGCACATAATAGAAACAAATATTTGCTCACTGATGAGACCAGCAGTGTGAAGTAAAGGTCTTATATGAATGGGAATTCTGCTCTTAAGTTATTCAGTCTATTTCATAAATACTTTTAGCATAACTGATTTTGACTAGTGTAATGTCAGACATGACCTATTCACAGCTATTACCTTTGGGAAGTCATTTGGATAGCTTTCCTTTCTGTTATCTGGCATATACCATATTTTCTGCCCATGTTTTTTATTTTGAAGAATGGACTTTCCAATTTATTCAATGCTACCTGTTTACAGTATATATTTCAGAAGACCACATTCTGGGGCCAGCCCGGTGGCATGGCAGTTAAGTTCACACATTCCGCTTTGGTGGCCTGGGGTTCGCCGATTGGGATTCCGGTTGCAGACATGGCACTGCTTGTCAAAAGCCATGCTGTGGTAGGCATCCCACGTGTAAAACAGAGGAAGATTTGGGCATGGATGTTAGCTTAGGGTCAGTCGTCCTCAGCAAAAAGAGGTGGATTGGCAGCAAATGTTAACTCAGGGCTAGTCTTCCTCAAAAAAAAAAAAAAAGACCACATTCCGTTTATCATATCACTTTTAGCAAAAGAACTCAGCTCTCTTTTTCTGTATGATTTACTCTAAAACTCTAAGAACTGCTGTAAGGCATCTAGGTAATACTCTTAATTTACAGGGTATAACTGTAAAATAAGGAGATTGATTTTACAAATCACAAGTGAAAATTAGTCCCATTGCTTTATGGTCACATTCCTCTTGTCAAAAGGTGCTTACTTTTCAGGAGAGATTTATATAAGTCAAACTTCTTTGTAACCTGGCAATGCTATCTGGTGGTTGCTTTAAATATTAGATATTTAATCTATTCAGCAATCCAATGTTTCTTTTACCAGAGCACAACACTTAGATAAAATAAAGGACAAAGATATGGAAGACATAATCTCTATCTTCTTGCATTATATTCTTTCTACGTCATTTATTACATATTTTTGTGGCTAGTTGTCTGCTGGGACATACAAAATTTGATAGAAAATAGCTGCTGCCTCAAGGGACTCTCACTCTACTGGGGAAGGGGGACAATCCTGTAAGCCGATAAGTAAACCCATAATCCAAGTCTGAGCAGCACGTGCTTGCTGCATCGAGGAGCAAGACTTCCTGGAGGAGATGGCACTCCCAAGACAGAGGGAGAGTTAAGACATTGACATAATTAACCTGAAGCATTATGGTGCACTCTTGCAAAACGAAACTACTGCAGGATAGTTTATCAATAATGTTTATTAATATTGATATTACTTCCTTACCTAAATAGTCAAGACTTTCATTTGAACCCTGCTTTCTAATCTTTAAATTGCTTTCACATCCAGTATATAATTTTGCCTTTTAGAGCTATCCTGGGAGGAGAATACAGGGCATGATGCACATTTTACAGAAGTCAAGAATAATGCATATAAGTGACCTGAGACCACATGGTCATTGGAAGAACTATTGTTATTGCCCAGAACTACTGATTTTTTAACCAGAAGGATTTTCTATCATTCTGGCTTTTAAAAATATTTATATTCTTATTCCTACCACCATTAGCCACCACCATGAAATTAAACAAGTGTTGCTTCATTGTCACATGTAGACCTTTGTTTACAAAAATGCTTCTAGAATTCAAGAACCTGGATTAGCCTTAAATCTAGAATAGATGCTATGATTGTTCATTCTTCACCTCTTCTTCTGTTAAACCTTCAAAGGTTCTCCCTTCTCTTAATCCTTTGCTGCTCCTATTTTAGCGGTAAAATGTCTTTGGAGAAAAAAATCAGAGTATAATGTGGTAGCTGAAAT